CTTGGACTGCAATTGGACACACCTAAAATTTTAGGTCTTACGATTATATTAACAAGGACAACATAAACAACTATATCGGGCCCTGCAAGGGAAAATGACTAACATGGAATCCTTGTCCACGCTCAATGTGTAAATTTCTTTCGTTGGTAAACGAGGTACAGTTATGTTGTCATCTTCTATAATATATATCTCTTCAGGTGGAGGATAAGAAGCCTGCTTCCTGTTTCCTTTCAAAAGCACAATTGAATTGCTCTCTCTCATAAAGGAAAGCTTTTGGTGGACATCAATACCAACTGAATGGACAAAACTGAAGAATTGAGTGATAATTGCACAATTTAGACAGATTATACAGGAGAAGATATAATTTAGACTTCTATTGAGCACATCTTACTGTATTCCTCAAATATAAAATCAATTTTGATAGTTTGCTTCTCTTGTAGGATGGGCACAAGAATTGTTGCACTGTATGGGCTGCAACATGAAAGAAGAAATTTATCTCAGCTTAAAACTTGTGTGACTCTAAGATTTATGTGTAACTTTATTCATTGGCATATGCAAACCGAACTACATTTCTAATATATTTAAATGTTAACAGTTTACATTATCCAATTGATAAGATATCATAAATTACTACAAAGTTGCATGCAGAAAACCTTTTCACTTGTTCAATGACCAGTATTTTAATATTTTTTATGTTCAGTTATATATTTTTTAAATATTGTTCTCAAGATCTTCCAAATTAAAATTCTTTGCTTTCTTTTAGTCTTGAATACTCTACTATACATTAAGTGTTTACCACAAAAGTAAAGCAAAGGTTTTAATTCATATACCTGGAGAACTGATCAACCCTGCGGTAATGATAGGGGAACATTAAACCCTGATCAGATGAGGGAAAGAACAATTTGCATACTACCAAGTTAAAAAAACTAAATTAGCAAGTCATCACCTTATCTTTTCATGAAAGAGAATAGTGTTGTCCTGCGAACCAATGATCTGTGAGAAAAAAATTTGTGCAACTTATTAATTTGTTATATGGGTGAGATTCTCCTTAGAAGACATTCAGATAACGCACCATATCAGCATAATGTCCTTTAACTGACAGGCCTGACTGTGATATCCTAGCCAATGTTACTACTATCTTGGACATTCCTTGTATATGGCTTTCAATTTCTGCAAGCCTAACATCAATCTTTGGAGGCAGAGAGAGTAGAGAATCTTTAATATGGTTACCGAATGGGTATTTTCGACCAGTCACCAGCTCTATTCTCCTGGGATCAGCTTCAGCAAGTGCCTCAAACGATTTAATTCCCATGGAATGCAGTGCCTAGAAAGAGCATCAAAATAAGAATATTCCCAAACTGGTTGCTAGCGCATCTGTATTTATTATGCGTTAATAACATCAACGCATCAATAAATATTACCTTTGCTGTAACCATCCCAATTCCAGGTAACTGTTTCAAAAGGTATGGACTATCATCCCAAAGTTTCTGGTCGAGTGATTTGGCTAGAACTGCTGAATTCACAGCTCCGTTGTAATTTCTTTTATAAATAAAGTACTCTTTCATGCATTTTGCAATTCTAAATCCATTTGAGCATATAGAATTCATATCCTGTAGCATCAAGTTTGCTCAATCACTAAAGATTTTAAGAATGCTGATCAACACAAAAACACTGATGTTAGAATGGAACACCTGAATCAGAGATAGGTCATGAACTGATGGATCACCAGTTAAGCAGTCGTTAGCTAAAATAAATATCTTCTCTTCCCTTGATTGAATGCGCTTTTTCTTTTTGCATTTATCTCCAAGAATATGAAAGCGAAGCCGACCATCTTTATCAGCATTGATCTCATTTAAGAGCTTCTTCTCATTGCGTCTGAGCTGTATCCCTTCATTTTTGCAGTGCAGAATTGTCAAGTTTTAATGTCAATGCATTGTGTATTAATTATTTTTTTTACAAAAAAATCCGTACATGCAATTTCTTCTGCACAGCACACAACATGAAGTGCATCTTCTAAACTGCAATTTTCAGGAGTCCGCATTATATGTTTCATGGTGTCAAATCTCAAATAGTACTTTGTCATTAACCTTCCAGGATCTAAGGCAGGAAAAGAAAGACATCAGCAATCAATTTGGATTCTAATCTTGTACCAATGCATCAGGATTATTCATTATACATAAAAGATATTGATACCTAATGGTCGCAAGAGGAAACCGTCTTCGTCCACCCAGACCATTTGACATTGCGATAACTCATTAACTTTATGCACACAAATATCTGAGAGAAAATAGCTTCAATAATTTAGAGGGAGATAACGGGTGGGGGAAAAGTTGACTACTGTACCTTGTACATGCTTCTCTAAACTATCGCCAGAAATTCCATTCTTAATTGCATAGTTCATAGGGTTCTGCTTGTGCATAAAACCTTTCATCAGATGGGATGGGAAACTAATGGACTAAATTATAGAAATCCTGAGTCACTTACCTTTTTCATTCTAACATACAAGTAGGAGAATTTAAACCATTCAATTGCTTTGGTAATATCAGATACTGTCAGTTGAACTATTTCGGCGAGTAAATGCTCCGTCACACATGAGAGCAACCTATGGTAAGCAAATATTTGATTAGCTGAACATGGTAAATAAACAATGTTAGCAGACCATGAACAAAAGTCAAAGGCGTCATATCTATTTAGCAATTTTGGAAGAAACAGTCTTACTGCGATTCCACCACTTCACCCCCGTTTAAAAGATTTTCATACAAATGAACCTGTGGTACGACAGCATGGAAGTAAATAAGAGAGTGTTTTATAACAGTAGAGCTCGAGATCAAAATTAAACAACTTTTTGAGTGTGGGAACAAATAAGAGAAATGAGTAGGATCTATATATGCAAGTAGCATAGTTCACCGTTTCTCTCCTTGTCATGATTATAACCATGCCTGTATCATCAAATGGGGGTCGGCCTGCCCTTCCACACATCTGTAGCATAAACTTTTATCTCAAATGATATACAAAGCATGAAAAAATTAAGCACAAATTTTTAACGGGATTAGTTAAATCACTGATTTATTTCTTCCTTGTTGATTCCCCTTTAATTTCTACAATATTTACAAACATATTTGTTAAATGAAGATAGTTTTAACCATAAAAATATAAAACAGATCTACAACATGAAAAGAGAAGAATGTAAGAAGAAATAGAGCTATTTTCCTATTTGCTGTTTAACCGTATTGTATTTCATTTACTGAATCATATTTAAGGCCAAATACCTTTGGAATTTGCAATATAGCCTAGGAAAATTCTCATTTCAGCTTTGTCATTCAATTTAAATCTTTTAAACATACTGCCATCTCCGTAACAATTATGTTTTTTCTTTAACAAACTTCATTTTGTTCAAGAGTATAATTGACTGTCAATTGATGAATAATACCTATATCTTCACAAAACATGTTGAATTCATCAGAAATATACCCATTTTCATTATCTGGTCTCAAACATTTTTATTTTGCAGTCACTTTAAAACTCCATTATAACCCTAAACTTTTTAAAGACATTAAACGTTTGGGCGTTACTTGCTAGAAAATAACCCCATGTTTATCAGAAAAGCTTGACAGTGACTTGATTTGCACTCCATATGTGTCTACCAAGGATATAATTGGCAAACATACTCACCAAGGGCTTGAACAACAATAATTTTGAGAGAATTGTATCCAAGTTGAGATTGGAGAACACTTATTTACCAATTTGAAGTGGAGTGTTGAAATATTTTAGGAAGTTTTAGATTTTATTCCTATTGGTTTAATTTTGTATATTAGTTGTATCTTGGTTTTATTACTAGCACATCAATCCTGCAATCTCAGGAATTTGCTTCCAAGAATAGGTTGTGATTGTTTCCTAAATTATCAATCAATGTATGTATATATATCAAATGTATGTAATGAGACAAAATAAAAGAGAAATTATTTTCTTCTAAACTTGAGAAATAGTCATGCCACATAGTGTTTAACAAACCCATAAGCTATGTATGTGAGAGAAAAAAACTCATTAATATGTTGTTTTCTTTCATTTTGTTAAAGCAATAAGCGTCTAAGTTGCATTCCTGAAACAGGGGACAAATTCCAGAGTGCTTGAGAATTGTAGAATATCCATTCTGCTTACCGGCTAACTGGGAAGAATAATCTTAAATGGTCTCAACTCATTAAGACCATATTGAAGGGAAAAGGAAAGGGCAGCCACCTTACCGACAATGCCCCTAATGAAACGGATGTCAAGTTCAAATCATGGGATGAAGAAGACTCCATGATCATGGCATGGCTGTGGAATTCAATGGTACCAGAAATTATAATGGTACCAGAAATTAGTGATACCTGTATGTTCCTTAAATCAACAAAGGAAATTTGGGAAGCGATAGAACAAACCTATTCTAAGGCCAAGGATGCTGCACAAATATATGATGTAAAGGTGAAAACCTTGGGGGCCAAATAGGGAAACAAATCGGTCACAGAATATGCCAATCAACTCAAGTCTCTATGGATGGAATTGGATCACTATCTCGTTATAAAAGCAAGGTGTTCAGAAGATTCATCAATCTTTAAGGATTACATTGAACAAGATAGGGTTTATGATTTTTTGGAAGACCTGAATTCCGAATATGATCAAGTTCGAATCCAAATTCTGGGAAAAGAGAAAGTGTTTTATATACTATCTTGCTTACTCATTTACATATTTCACATTTTGAATATGTGTCTTTAAATAAAGTTTTAAAATCTTGTGAAAAGTTTTATCTTCTAACTATAATGACCATCAACGATACACTGTCGGCCGATCCTTTAGAAACTGTCAGAAGACACCTTGGTTGGCTGTTGTGATCAGACTACCTCTCGCATAAGCTAATAGTCTATTGCGAAAAGATTTTTAAGCTCTATACAACCCCCCCCCCTCTTTCTAGAGCTAACCCATGATAGGCCAACCCCCCTCTTTCTAGAGCTAACCCAATTATTTCACTTCTCATATTGAGGACTGGATATCTCGAGCATGGAATTAGATATGCAAGTAGTCCAAATAATAGGCCAACAAACCTTGTTAAGATTAGCTTTGTTATTGTTTTAGAAAATGAGTTTAGACCTAACTCAACACTCAACTCTACAAATTGAACCAATAAGGTTAAGTTTTCACCCCTTTTATATACACATTATAATTTGACCTTATCTCTAGATGATGTGAGATCTCTAACAATTATCATAAGGATCTTAAGAAGAAGCTAACCTGCAATATAGTGGAGCGGTCATATTCCATATACAGACCTTTTTCTTTGTTACTGTCCATAATGTTTCAATAAAATAATTTGTAAAAACAGATTTCTCAATATGCTACAATGAAGTGCATAAAAAAAAAAAAAAAAAAAAAAAGACATACAAGTGCTGTGTTGACTTGATAACCACTGTATGTGCTGGGAGATTGATTCCATGGGCTAGCGTATTTGTAGTGCACAGTACTTGAATATCGCCCTTGAGAAAAAGGCCTTCTACAATATTCCGATCTTTGAGGCAAAGCCCACCATTGTGATAACCAACTGGTAGGAAAACCATTATCTAAAAGTCACAATCAACCAATTTGATGTTCTATCACGTGCATGGGATTGCAATCACTTTCCAGTAAAAACTATAATTTAGTCAAAGCCCAGAAAATAAATAGATTCATTTCATACCTCCATAAAGAACGTATGACTGCATTTGCTTGTCAGTGCATGATATAGAAGCTTCCCTCAGACGATCTTGTTGTTCTCTATTCTTTATGAATGGATTTGATAAACCGAAAGTCATTACTATTTGAGAGAGTCGCTGAGCAGCTTCTTGTGCTCCTTTTCTTGTTGAACAAAATACAAGCGCAGATTTACCTCTTGAATATTGCATGAGAATATCTGAAAATCATTTGTACATAGACAGCAAATAGTTCTCCTTGTATAGAAATGTCAATAACAGTGAATAGCTACAAGGTATAAACTGTTACTTTGGCAGGATGACTTATCTTACTTACCGAAAATATAATTTTGAAGGCGCTGCATGGTAGTAAAGTAGTATGTATAATGCAGAGATGAAAATAAGTTCATTTAGTAAAATGGGTTATTTAAAAGTAGCAGCTTGTATAGAAAACAATCAATACTATTTAAACCTTGTCAACTTCAAACCAACCTTCTCAAAGAGGAAGTCATTCTTGGCTGGGGCATAGCCTGCATAAATTTGGTAGTAGAACGATATTAAAACATTTCTATATTACTCAGGACTAAAGATCACGACATTGACTAATATTCACTAAAAATTCAGAATTCAAATTAGGAATCTTTGTTGTTGCCATCACCTTTTTTCTGAGAAAAGCCAATTCAACTTGGACGAATAGATTTGTAATGGGATGAAAGATATGGAATGATAATTGATCATAAACTAATTAACGATAGAGTTGAATTCTAATATATTCGCGTACCAAAAACCTTGGTTGTCAGCTTTACTGGCCTCATCTCTTCTCCAAACCTATGAACATTCAAAAAAGCAAAGCAAAAATGGTCTCAACATTGGCCTTCAGCATTGCAGAAGTCCTATGATGGATGTTGAGGTGGAAAACTACCTTTTTATCCCATGGTCAGGAACATCTAGCCACTTTGCTGCAATAGCATGTATTGCATAAAATTCTTCCCTCGGTTGTTGAAACATTTTATTTTAATTTTCATAACTCTTGTAACAACATATAATAAAAATTACCTAGATCCTCAATATTTGGAATTGTGGCAGACACAGCTAGGTAGCGGACCTGAGCCAGAGGATTTGATTTCAATTTTGGATTGCCAGCAACGATTTTTATTCTACTAACAATTGCTTCAAGAACAGCTCCACGTGGATCATTCAATAGATGAACTTCATCCATTAGTAAAAGTGCAATGTCACTGAAAAAGCTCAAGCCACCACTTTCTATACCATATCTTGACACTGCATCAAATTTCTATTCATCGGGAAAAGAAATTAAGTTCAGATATCTCCCACAGTATCAATAAATCAGTCAGCCTATTTCTTGTGATTGCGTATATGGCCAAGCAGAAGACCTTCAAAAGTACATATTTAAGGAACTCAACAAGGAATGCTGATTTATAATACTTAAACTCCGAGCGTAGTTCAATTTCTTATTGAAAAATATATGCTTCTGGAGGTTAAAGGGATTAGGAACATGTGCATACATAAAATTATTAATTCGTGATAAAATTAAAAGAGTAACAAACAAGTGGTCCCGATCTGCTTATGTTCTTCCATTTGCATACTGACCTCAGGAGTTGTGAGAATAATATCAGCTTCTAGTATATTCCTTGGAGTGTAAGATTCGTTGTCACCTGTCAGCTCCAGGCAATGTATTCCCCATGGCCCAAACTTTTTATTCCAATCACGGAGTTTCTCTTGTACTAAAGCCTTAGATGGGGCTATATAGATCTTAACACCAAGAGAGAAGATAATTGTTCCAATAATTAGTTACTGATACATGACGGAAATACTCATCAAATTGTGCTTCATATGACTCGAAATGTACTAAAGCTTAGGCTGGTGTGTATCTGCCTTTATAGCAAAAAATTATTGGGCTTATAACATTAAAACAAGGATAAAAAAACTTGACTAAACGCTTTTTCTTTCAAGAAAGGACTTACTGTTTTAAGAGATCCCTTTACATGTAGGAATCTTCCCTCCGCAGAGATGAACCTGGAGAGTAGCCTCAACATACAAAGCTCAAAGAGTACAGTTTTACCACTCCCAGTTGGTGCAGAGATGACCATATTTACATCAGAGTGGAAACAGATAGGAAAGCATTCACTCTGAAGGGAATTAAAATATCTGCATGCCATATAATAGAAAGTCATGTGAGACAAAGCCAGGCGCAGAGTATTTTTTGAACCTGATCAATAAAGGATTGGAAGGCAAAACAATAATGTTTATTTTATATTACAAAGATAAGTGATAGATGACATTCATCTCTTATTTAAGACCTGGTGGAAATGTGATACAGACTAAAGCCTAAGAACAGCTAAAGTTATTTGCAGCAACTAATGGCCCGCTAGCTCAATTATTCAAATTAATCCCGATAATAAATTTTATATTGAAATGTGTGGTACTGAGAACGGTAGAAGAAATTGATTCTACTCCAAACAAACACTTAATATATATTTCACATAAAAAAATATATATACAGTACCTGAAACTAAAACATGAACGAAAAGGAGGAGGCAAATCGAACACAGACTTCAAAGAATACGAATCCATAATCAGGATGCTGAATTAACTAAAACAAAAAAGAAATTGAAAAAATAACATTCAGTTCTAACTTACAGAAATGAACGTAACGTAGTTAGCATGATCAAGAAGATGTTATAAGAATTGAGATATAAAATTAAAACTATAAACAACCACTGCTTATTCCAACTAATTTTCAGATAGCAGTGATACACAGTAAAAGGTCATGTCAAGAATGACAGTAATCTTTACATAAAAAATGATGAAGAGACCCGTCAAATTCTGTCAGCAAATATCTACAAACCAAAAATTCTAAATTTCATCTTACACATAATTCATCCTCTCTCTCTCTCTGAAACAACAAATAAAAAATAAAACGGAGAAATTGAGAAATCCTAATCGTTCTCCGAAAACTCTCCTGTTTTAGACTTAGATTAGATTTCTTAGAAATCCTATTTTGAAGAAAAATAAAATCATTTCTGAGCGGAACAAATCTTCATGTTATTTATACTCGGAAAGTAATTAACAGGTAATCGATTCGGCAAATCTAGATTGTACAGATAGAATTGCATCAACACATACCCACTCCAACACGGAAATGGAATTTAAAAAAGAGATTCCCGATGGTTTCAAGAATTTAAATATGTCAGAAACGATTTTCTATTGGATCCTAAAGTTCAAAGACAAATCGAGTTTCTCAAAGTTGCTTGCATGCGTAGAGAGGGAGAAAGAAACCTGAGAGAAAAAGTGAAATAAGAGTTCCTAAATTTATTCAGAGGTTTGGGCATTATTTAGTGGGGAGAAGGGTGAGAGGGCAATGCGAGAGGAAAATGATTTAGTTGGGGGGGGTTTTAGAGAGGGTACTTTGAAAGGAGTGTGCAGACAGCTGATAAAAGTTGAATAGGGTGGTATTTATAGTTGGACGCTCTTGGCGGGGAATTCCGTGAGGTTTTTTGTGAGTTGCAAATGCTTCTACCAATTAAATAAGACTAAATATCATTTTGTCTTTGTTAAGTGTACGTTGTTTTCTCATTAAATATTGGATGTACTTTTTATTCAAGCTAATTAATATTAATTAATTATATTAGTACGCTGATATGACATATTAAATGATATATTAGTAGTTATATTATGTGACAGTCACATCACAAAGATTTAAATGAAATGTTAAAAGATAAATTATTTAAATTGAATATTAATTTAACATTTTGATATTTTAAGAATTAAGCAGAAATTATTATACATTTTTTAAATTTATTCAAAAGTTAAAAGTATAACAACATTATTATTTAAATTCAAATATAGTCTTTTCTCTTTTATGTTGATTCCATTCATGACCGTTGTCCCTCCGAACCTTGCTTAAGTGTGGCTACACCTCAACTACCACACCCATCAATCGTTTCCGCCTCTTACTCTTTCACCTAAACAAACAATTTCAACCTAATCACCCACTTCTCCCAAGTGCAAACGAAAGACACTTCCACCAATTTGAGAACCCGGTACTTTTCAAATCCCACAATTTTGAACAAGCAACTCATCTCCTTCCGCTTGTACATCCTCTTCCAAGGCCTTTACGTCCATTAACCATGAGAAAAACTCTGTGTTTCATTGTGTGAGGGACCCTGTTGTGGTACCCTCTTCTTTCACCTTTTGTTTAATAGTTCGAGAATTAAGCTCAAAGGCGTTGATGGGTACCCTTTGATGATTTTATGTTAGTTCTATGATTTTTTAGTTTTGTAAGATGGAAAAACTAGAACTTGGGTGGGAAAAAGAATAATTAACACCTGAAGAAGGAGATGATTAGAAAATGAGAAGAACACGAAGCAAAGAGAAGAGTTAAATATTTAATCCAAAGTAAAACATTTTGTCTTAAAAATTTAATTAGGTATTAGAATTTAACGTGAATAGAAGTCAGTGATTTGGTAAAAAAAAAAAGTTAAATTGAGATATACAGAAGATGATGGCTAGTAAAGGATTACAAACAAGGATAATAAAATATTAAAAAATTGATTATACAAATTATTTTTTCTCGAGATACATACCACGTAATAAAATTAATGGTTGTTTTAGGAGCTTGAAATATTTAGTTTACTCACTAATTTTATGATAAATCAATATTTTTATATGAGTAGTTTAAAGAATAAGACTTTGTTGAACAACCATTAAGTTAGAATCTTACTTTTTTTAAGTTGGATTCATAAAATGTTTTTTAGAGTACACATTTTTTTTTAAATTAGAGATAAAGATAAATTATTTATACTTTGTTTTGTTTATAGGTTGATGATCTTATTTTTATTAAACAAAATGTAATTTCATATTTAAGAATTTCAAGAATCCACGATAGATATGAAATAAGTGATTTTGACTTCAATTTATAGAAATTTTATATGTTAAAAGAAATGTGTGAGAATCTAAGAGTGAGCTAAGTTGGTCAATGTGGTCGATTAGTTGCAAAATTAACTCAAAATTCCTCAATTAATTTAAATAAATTTATTGATCCATGAGGTAGATTATATAACCATTTGAGTATTATTTCTATCAACGTCATAAGAAAAATCTACACAAGAAAACATCAATTTCTCCAAATATGTTGATTTGTGTTAAATAAAATTGGATATACCCATTGAAGTTAGTATCTCTTCCAAATTTCTCCATATTAAGAAGGGTTTCTCCATTATATCAAGGTAAAAGAGCTTCTGAACTTTAACTTTGGTTTCCCTTGAGTATTAAAGGATTGAGTATGTTTTATGGTCGGGATATATGTTAATTTTTACTATTAACTCGACCCATCCTACGACGAGATTCTACCTATGTGTTGTTTTAATGATTATTATGAGTATCATCTTCATGGACTTGGGATTAATGCCTTGAAGGAGATTGATATCTTAGAGGGTAGTAATATTAAAATAAGTTTAACTCGATAAATTGACCCAAAAAAGGTCGACTAATAGGCTAAGACAAAAAATTGTGACCTAAATTGAATCATATCAATTTTAAGTCAGTCCATTTAAGTCATAACTTAAATGAACTTAGATTAGGTTACTCGTAGGTTTATAAGTCAACCCATTTTATAATATAATAATTATTTTTAAATAAAAATAAATAAATATTATTTTATTAAGAAATATAGATGTATTATAAATTAATTTTATAATGAATCCACTTATTCTAAGAATAAGATAAGAACAAATCTCTAATACTCACTTATTTCATGATCTAATAGTTAAGATTACTAAATAATGAATGATAATAATGAAAAATAAGTTTCCAACTCTTATTTTAAAATATTTATTTTATCCTTTGAATTAATTATTTTTATATAAACATATTATTAATATTATTTTTAATCAAACCTAAATTGATTTATTAGCATGTTAACCTAACACAATGTTAGATTAGGCTGAAATTATGATTCATTTTAAAATATAGGCCAAATTAGACCATCAATTGTTTTTACTTGACCCGTAAAAAAATATTAGGCTATGTCAAATCGTCAATTTTGACAATCCTATTGTGAAAAACTGGTATCTCGATGGAGATTGATATTATAAAGTATAAAGAAATGGAGTGAAGAAATAAAGAAGAAAGGATGAAGAAAAGAGAAGTATGATAGTGGTGGAGTGTTGGTGCGCCTAGATTGCCTCCTTCTATGATATCTCCTATCTTCTTCTTCTTGGGAACTTGATGAGTATGAATGCCTTCTCTTTCTTTGGGACTTCTTCACTTCAAGTCATTGGATTGTCTCCCTCAAATGTCTTTCACTTTTCTTCCGGGACAATTCCATTTCTCTAATTAATTCCACTAGAGTTTATTCCACTGGATCTTTTATCTGTCTTTCATTAGATGCCCCCACATTGCTTGCCTTCTCTGATGAGAAATTGGACATGTCTGCAAAACAAGTTAAACTAACACAAAACACGAAAGCTGAAAGGTTAAAATATAAATCAAGTCACTCAAGTGTTTGGCTCCTCACACAAGTTTAATTGATATGATCACTCAACTCTTCAAGTAGAAATTTTTTTAAATGTTTCAAAATTCTCTTTAAAGTCTTAAAAACTTCTCTTGAAAAATGACAATCAAATGGAAAGATATACGCCAACCAAAACACTTAAGAGTTCCAAAAAAAAAACTTTCAAAGACAAAACATAAATAAACCTAACACAACAAGAAAAACACAAAAAAAAAAAATAAATAAGAAAAGTATACTAAGAGTGAATTGTTTTTTTTTTTTACAAAAATTTGAACAAGACTAAAGCAAGAAAAGTTGGAAAGAAATTTGAGAAACACTTCAAACATGCAATCAAAATTTTCAACCAAGCACACACATAAAGAAGACTAAGGTTCCTACAATGTTAGAATTAATTGGCCAAATTTTAATCATGCAACCAAGTATTATGACAATTTCTAAAATCAAATCTTACAAGTGTAGAATTTTTTTTTTTTGTAGTAATAAGGTTTCGCCCAAAGTAATTTTTTTTTTGTTCTAACTTGATTCTAGACTTGCTAAAAGTTGTTTAAAGTTGCTAGGAAAATTTTGATCACTTAGTCTCTATGTTTAGGATCCTAGATCAATTCATCATGCATGGACTTAACTAATTAATTCATCATGCAATTTCAAGTGTTGGAAGCCAATAAAAGAAAACTTCAATAAGAGATACTAGACATATAACTCAAATAAAAAGCTACACAAGGAATGGAATCAAAGCAACAACAAAAATACCTTACTAGTAACAACCTAAGCTCTGATACCAGATTATCTAAAATAAAGTAAGGTGCAGAATTTTAAGCAATAAAGTAAGCAAACTTAAGAAAAATTCTCATAGACATTAAGATAGTTGTCTATTTAGATGTGAAAGTTCATTTCCAAGGATTGTGGAGGGAGGAGGATATGAAATGAAACTAAAAAGGAATAAAGACAAGGATTAGAAAAATGGATCAGTCCCTCGGATAAATAAATGAAGTGAAGAAATAAAGAAGAAATGATGAAGAGAAGAGAAGTATGGTGGTAGTGGAGTGTTGGTACGTCACAAGGGGATGAGTCACCCTAGATAAGTGGTGGTTGTCGCCACTTGAACCAAAGTTCAAGATAAGACACTGAAAGAGATAGAACACTCTAAGAAACCTCACAAACTTGTCATAAAATGTTCAACCTCATTACAAGAGGGGAAACCTTCTATTAATAGACTTTTGGTGGAGAGACCTAGATGAAATTACAAAAAGGAGACATAAATTTAACCTAAACCTAAAGGCTAGAGTCTCATGGTCCAAATATGTTAAATTCATCCTAGCGCACCAAAAATACCTCTAAAGGTGTGGAGAATATAAAAAAAGAGGTATACTTCCTTTTGGATTGTCCCAAGCCTACGAATCCCACATCCTAAGTTTCTTCCTCTCCAAAAAGGAGTGCAGGATATGAAAAAAGAGTATCCTACACCTTTAGGCTGCCCATGCATGTATCTTATTGATCCAAGACTTCTTTTTCACCAAAAAGGGGTGATATTCTTCAAAAAGAAGATGCAAAAAGTGAGCCTACAAAAGGAAAGCGAAAATAAGTGAAAAACTTAGAAAAAGAAAATACTAAGTAAATTCAAAATGGAAAGTGAAGAGGAAGTCTCCCTTCTAGTCATATTTTTAGTAATCCTCCTAGGAATGACCTCTCTCGCCTCCGGAGCAACTAGGGACTCATCAATAGATAACTTTACTTTTATCCAATTATATTTTTCCTATTCAAATATTATCGACAAAATTTTTTATGGATACATCCGTCGGTAATTCTTATAAATAATAAATAAATTATCATTTACATATGAATTTTTTGCCGCTAAATCGACAAGTAATTATCAATGAATATTTTCACCAATAATTATCGATGGAAGACATATCATTAACAATTATCAATAGTAATTTTTAACTAATATATTTGTCGGTAATTACTAATGGACCTAGAATATCTATCGATAAAAATTACAAACAAAATTTTGACCACCAATAATCAATACTTATCAATGAATTTCATTTGTCTAAAAATTCATCATTTTTCTTGTAGTGGTTGCATTTGTTTTTTGTTATCACCTAGCCTTTCTATCAACACATACAACATCAGGTGATGCATTCTTGGCTGCATCTGGTGGACTTCATTTGACTGATGCTCCTACTTTTTACGTAACTGATATACTTGATGAATCTCCTTCCTTATACTGTATTTGATACTACAAACTCCACTCTTGAATGTTACTACTTGTCCTCCTTAAATGTCTTGAGTATTATAAGTAACATATTCTCTCGATCGATGAAATGTTGTCTAATGATGTTGATGGATAAGAACTAAACAAGTAAGACTTTGAGAATTTTTTTAAAAGAAAAACATTAATTAAATTTTTCAAAAACATGATATTTTTATTAACAAGATTATGCATCACTTCACCTTAAATTTTTCTCTACATAAATAGTAGTTACATATCATTTTAACTTAATAATTTTTTTTGAAAGTACAGTAAAACTGTTTAATCTTTTTAAAGGGAGGAAAATATCCTTTTGAAACCTTTTTCCCTATTATCATCATTGTTTAACAAGTTTCTTTGGTGAGAAAGGTGATCACATTAAATTAATTTTGTGTAAGTCCCAATGTACTGTGTTGTTGCACATAATTGTTGATAAACATATTTTCTTTCTGTTTTTTTTTTCAACCAATTGGTGTAGCTTGAATTCATTTTTGGTCTATGTGATCAAGATAATAGTTATGGGTTGTGTGTTGCTAAGACATGATGTGTGATAGAGTTTAATGCAATGGTTTTTGGGTCTTGTGCAAACTGATTCTTGCTTTAGCTAGGGTAGATGGATTGGTTATAGATAGGTGTAGCTATGAGTTAACTTCATGATACTATTTTATGTGAAGTTAGGTATCTTTTAGTGTTTAAGGTTACTAGTCATAACTCTCTTGATTATAAGGTTTAGTTTTGTACTTTCTAGGAGTTAATGAATTGTCTAGTTAGACAATAGAGGATCGGATGTAACTTTCATATAAACAATATAAATTTTTGTGTGAAGTTTCTCTTTCCTATCCTATTTCTTATTGTATTTTGTGCATTTAATTGATTATTACATCGTTGGCTACAACTTGTTCGTGTACATATTTACCTATCTTGTTATTAGCTAACCCTATTGAGTTATAAATTACTTGGAAGCATGATGTTTAATCATTGGTTAATAAAATTTAGCAGTTTATCTATGAAAATCTTGCAACTTTTTCTTATTATAATTAATTCAAGTAGAATCCATGAAATCACCAAGTATACCTGTTCTAAGTGTCATGTGTTATTGGTTGATAATGATTAAGGAACACTCACATCAATGAATTGTAACTTATTCTTAACTCTTAATGTAGTAATCATAAATATGCTTCATGAGTAATATTTTGTTGAATTAAGCTCAAGAAAAATAAGAAGAATAACAAGATTTTCATTTAGATGTAAGCACAAGAAATTGTAACTTTGATAAAAAGATTGAGTTCACTGTGCATTTTTGCATAATTAAATAATAAAAAAGTGTATGTACAACATAACTCTAAAAAAAGAGATATTATATCTTCACAAGAAATAAGTCCCAAAAGAAAATAAAAAAATTGAACAATCCTCAGAATTGTATTCTCAATCCTCAAAATGTGTTTATTGTACGTGAAATAGTTGGAAATTTTACTTGGTTTTTATAATTCTTGGAATAATAACAGAAGGAAAATGAAAATACTTTGATAGAATTTAAAATCAGCCATTTAAAGATTTAAAAACAAGAAATAAACACTTACAAAAAATGAAAATAGATGTAAAAGTAAAATAAAATTAAATTTAATTATGAAAATGTTGAAAGAAACTATAGAGGTGCAGGAAAGTGCCTAAATAATTGGAGCATGACCGGATCTGAGTTGAACCAATGCAGATAGCAATTCGTAGACGAAGTACAAATTGATTACATAAAGAAAGCGTTTCTGGAACCCATGTGTTCCATGAAGACATTTCTAAAACGCTTCTAGGTTCGAACTGAACCATTATAATTGCTATGTCCCAGTAGTCGTGTAGGGCTTTTGGAACCCTCTGCTACAGAATTTCAATTGTCGTGATTTTTCACACCTCCGGCCCATAAAGTCTAGAACTCGTTTTTTTAAGAGCTTGAATTATGAGTTAAGTGAGGTTTTTTAACGAACAATTAAATCTAAGCCATAAAATAAAATCCAACTATTATTATTATTAAATCCTCTCGTGTGTGTGCATATATATATATATATATATATATATATATATATATATATATATATATATATAATCTTCTCACAAATCTCTTTTCAAAATATCCGAAATTGTACAAAATCCTTACCCCATTTATACGAGGAAACAAACGAGAGAAAATGGAAGAAAAAAAATGACAAAAAAATATAGAGAAAAAGAAGGGGTATAGATGTCAAACATTTTCCTTCCGGTGACTTTTTAACATTCTCTCTTTTCTGAACAACCATCAGTAAGGATGCTGATCATATCTGACCTCAAATCCACATAATTTTTTGTTGTTAAACCAACTAAATATCTTCCAAGTTATGAATAGTGAAAGTGCCATGGTTAAAGACCACAAACGATACATATAATAACAGCAAAGTCTTCACGGACAGCAGGGAATGATAAGAAGTAAATTCAATAGTCAGCCAAGTATCAGATTGTAAAGATAAAAGATGCAGCGTCTTTTCGATTTATAAAGAAAACATGCAGCAAAAGCATGATAAAACATGACAGAAGGTCCACACAATAGTAATCCAAATTCAAGGGTCATGTTAGCTGTCTAGAAATTAAGGGATGGACACTGTTTCCGAGCATGTTCTGGGACAAGTTTGCATAGAAGCTCCAAAGTCACTCCCTTCAGCTCTAATTGATGCGTCATTGTTCAAAATACATGGTGTCAGAAAGTTGTTTTATGGCCCTTAAAGCAGAAATAAGAGTAAATGGTAAGGAGACTACCTTGAGGTTTGAAATTGAAGAGGGCTGGCAAAGGGCGCCCATTAGGGAGACGAGTATTAGGATGGCGGAGTTCATCAAAAAATGGGTGGATACATGCATCCAACTGCAAAAAAATAGAGTAAATGAAATTATTTCACGATCATGTCAATTGAATTGTGAAATGATTCAAATACTACAAATAAGTTAACAAATTTTCCATATTTTCATATATTTTCCAGGAATAACATAAATACTCACAGCAGTGCTACGTAAATTTGGAGAATACTGGAGAAGCCTTGAAACAAGATCTACTGCTTCTGGGGGCATACGCTTATGGAATATCTATTTCAGAAAAATATTGCCAGATCAATGCAAACCGAATTACATTACTAATGCAATTGGTTAGTGTGCAAGTCATGGAATTCACCTTATGCCAGGGGTGAGCTTTGATTTGAGGGAACTTAAATTCTGTGTAATTTGGATTCATGCATTTTATTTCCTCACGAGTTGGAGTCCCAAGTACCTAAAACATAAAACAATAATTCACAATTTGGAGAAGCAAATAAAATAAATGCCTGTATATCTTTTTAAAAGTTCAAGGTATCATATTCTAGATCAGGTCAGATAAAGCCAAAAAGCAAACAATTTTACCTTGATAATTTCAACAAGTTGATCAACTCCACTTTCTCCTGGAAACAGAGGCTACAAATTACAGATGGGCAACAGTGAAGAGGACATGTAAGTAAGCACCATAATATTAACCCTTCCAAGATTGCAAAGGAAATAGGAAGAAAATTAATGAGTAGGTTTTGTTTTGCAAACCTGCCCCAGTAGTAGCTCAGCAAGAACACAACCAACAGACCACATATCAATTGCAGTAGTATACTCTGTTGCCCCAAATATGAGTTCCGGAGCTCGATAGTATCGAGAGCAGATATAAGATATGTTAGGTTCACCCTTGACCTACTCCAAAATAATTGGATAACAAAAATATATTATTAATAGACTAACAATAGCAATTCAATAAATGAATTCCAAAACACATTAAGTGATGGAAAAAATATTTCTCTACCCACTTAATTTCATTTTAGATCTTTTATATTGGGGGGGAATGCAGGGGAAGGGAAAAGGTTGCCCACGAAAACAAGGGACAGAATTATGCATCATAAAGCTAACCTAAGCCTAATTGGGAGGTAGAATGTCCAAGATTTGTTCTTGTGAAAATCATGACACCTTTTTTAAGTGCGACTGGTGAGAGGAAGTCATGTTTTATGTAGGGATACAATCATGTATAAAGATCTCAAATTCTTGATACAGTTAGCATGAAATCTATCTAGATTTACAGAATTGCCATCAAACTAAATGACTAAACACTAAACATGTCCAGCTAATCAGATATGCAACACCAAAAAACTGGTCCAGGAAACCTAGAGCCTGCAATTTTATCTACTAAGTGACTGGAATGTGCCAAATATCAGCCAATTGATTAGGTTATAAATGCCCAACAAAATAAAATATGAAAAATTTATGGATGCAAGAACATGCAACATGAAACACAAAATAATCAATCTTAATAGATGCCAATAACCATCGACATTAGACAGAAGTGGAACATTACCAGAACTTTTGCACTTCCAAAATCACAAAGTTTGACTTGATGTGTATGAGGATTAACCTGCGCAAAAGGTTATATTGATAACAAATCACCCAACTAAGAATATGAAAACTTTCTGATATGATACCAACCAGTAGGTTCTGCGGTTTAATGTCCCTGTGGCACACTCCAACACACCCATGAATATAAGCCAAGGCTCTACAAATCTAACAAATAACAAAGGAATAAATCACAATTAGCAACAATAACCATACATAGATTTTAAGACGCTAAGGTAAAAAAATATGCCACTTGGCACAGATGAATCTGATCATACTTGAACTATACTACAGCAGTTTTCTGGTATGCAGTGAACTGCTTTCCATTTTTGGTGAGTATAATCAGTCCGAAGGTGTGATGGCTAAGGAACCCATGGCTAGAACTCAAGCCCAGAGAAATTTTATTCTATATTTTCTTATCCTTCTCGTTCAATTTTCTAAGGTACCATAAAACCAAAATTAAAAATTGGCAAGCTGTCATATAACTATCATATGATTCCACATGCTGACCACTAAGGGGTAAAGTCCAACTTTAAACAAAAGCCCAAATGAATTAATTTTATTACGTAGGAAATAAGCATATACCGAAAATATAAAGTCCTAATCCTAATGAAAATAGGATGAAACATATTCAAAGGAAATAACATAAATAAATTTAACAAAAAAAACAGCAATAAATATTAATAACAACAACAATAATAATTCATAAAATTTAGGGATCTATCTATATACACACACACACACACACATATATATATATATATATATATATATATATATATATATATATATATATATATATATATATATATATATTAGTTATAAACTAACATATAAATACTAACCTAATAACGTTTAATCTGTCCACTGCATCCATTCAAATGTCAAATATATGAACAATAAATACTATACTGGTAGTATTTTCCATTTCAAACTAAAGACAAGTTTGTTACGGCAGTAAAACTAATTTTTAGTTATACAGGTATTAATGACTTCTGACTCAAGATTGCCTACCAAACTATGCCTTATCTTTTTAACCCTGTTATTGAGTCACAATCGTGCACTAATGGCCACAATAACACAGGGCCAATCCATAATGCACAACCACTATTGCATCATTTTTAGCATGCTATTCAGTACTATGATTAGAACAAACATCTATAGTTAAAGTATTCAAGTGAACAAAAACAGAATGAGCTCCAAAGAATATGGCAGAATATAAGGGCCAATTTTCTGATATGCAAATTTACAAAGGACCAAATTCAGGTTAGTATCTTGCGACTTTTGCTTAAATTCATCAATTAGTAATTTTGATGATAGCATCGGATAACTTTGATTAGTGTTCACAATATGATATACAGTTTCAAATAATCAAAATATGAATTTAACTAACAGAAGTATGTTATCACAAAAGTAATGTGGAAAGAACCTGATATGTGTAAAGTTTAACATATATTAGGGGCATCCGCTGATTTGCCTTGCTATAGTGCTTCACCACACGATATACAGTCTCAGGTACATATTCAAGTACCAAATTGAGATAGAGTTCATCTTTGTCTGTGGTGGAAAAAAAGCAATGTTTGAGTGATACAACATTGGGATGATCAAGAAGGCGCATTGTTTGCAATTCACGGTTCTTGTATCTTTTATCCTGCAAAACTTTCTTGATTGCTACAGTTTCTCCAGTTTCAAGACATTTAGCCTGCAAAACAAATATGCTGAAATCAACTTTATATTAGTGATCTTAGAGCAATTAATCTAAAGTGCAACTTATCAATTAAATGCCACCTGAAACACAATACCAAATGAGCCTTGTCCAACAATTCGTTCGGCCATGTAACTTATAGTCTGTGGCACACAAATGAGAAGTGAAACATTATGATAAAAAGGAGATTGATAACGAATCAAATTAACTCATAAACTGAATGACAGTAGGTAAGAATAAAATATTTTAAGGATATTATTAGGAGACACTTTTCAGAAATAAAATCTTTAAGCCTAACAAGAAACAACTGTATACACAGGCAAAACAGATTCTAAATTTCCTCTCTTCATTACTGAAAGCTCATCACAAGCCAGAAACCATGTTATACAAATACCCTTCCAAAGGAACTTACTCATCTACACTGGAATATGTCCAGCTTTACAAAAAGATATTCAGAAGTCCCCCCCCTATACATATAGGAGGGGTCTCATATATAAGGAAAACCAAACTAACTCTAGTAGCCTCCTGCTACACTGTTACCCTTTTACCCCTTATTGTTCCTCCTATAGTACATCTTTAGACCCTATTTCCTTAAAGGTTGTGGCTCTGAAATGGTCTTAGCAGACATTCTCCAGTTGTACCAAGATATTAAGTTTCACTAACAAGCCTTGTAGACTAGGAGAACTGTCCCTGGTGAACAAGAAGCTTTGATTCCCCCACTCAGACTTTCCCCAATATCTCCTTACCTAACCAAAACACAATTGCATGATTTTTGCTAGTATCTTCATTATTTATTTCTGTGCTACCCTTGATGTAACATGTGAGCCTTTTGTCTAGCAGCTTCAACTTTAGGAACAACTGTGTTCTTTGATAAAATAGTATAAAAATAAGGATATTTAAATATTTAGTTCTCCCCATTAATAGCTAGCTTTTAAGGGCAGGCTCACAAAGTGAAGTATCATACAGTAAGGTCACCGAGATATCAGCTAGTAATAGCGGTGGTATGATAGGGACTGGGGTGTGGTGCCTTAGTCCCACACATCAAGTAGTGTGGGATGCTTGATGGAGGAATACAAGTGTTTGGTTCTCCCCTTTGAAGGGAAAAATCTCGTTTCACACAATGAGAATCGAAGGTATGGACACAAATAATAGCACAAATTAAATGAAAAACATAATCACTTGTGCAGTCCAGTTCAACCGACTTGAAGCCAATCTAATAATCCAATTCAATTACTCCAAAATAATCTACCTGTTTGGGTTGACCTTGTCGACCACCAATAGTAGTCACAATAATACGGCCAGTTTCCGTTCCATTTCCATCCACCATTGCAGTATCCATTTCCTACCCAAAGCATAGAATTTGGGAGGAGAGGTGAAAGCATAGGTGAGAATCAAAGCCTGATGTATTCAAAGCCACAAGCCGTACAGAAAAGATAAACTCCATTACCTTTTCATCTTTAATCTTCATTTCATTAATCTCCTCCGGGAGCTTTTCAACAACCATGGAATCATCACCTGGCTTACCTAGAGTAGAGGCCATATTCGCTAAACCAGGATAGAATCAGACCTTTTCAGTTTATTATCTTCAAATCACCACTCTAGATCAGCAACAACAAACCTGAAAAATTTTAGAACGAAAATGGTCAACATAATCTGCAAGACTGCAAACAATAATCACTCACTAAGCATAAAGAAAGCACCACAAACTCACAGTACGCTGAAGTTAGTACCCAAGCACGTTCCATTTGAATGTAAATCATCTCAGTCCATATCAGGAATACATAACAATTCATTAATGTAGCACCAGACCAACAGAAGAAAAAAAAAAGGCCAACATTCATTTGTAATCACTAGCAATAATACCAATCTCAATGTTAAATGCATTGGAAATGATACGACTCATACAATTCACTAGAGAAGGCCCACACGGGCTTGTACATACTTCTTAATGCACCGAAGATACCTGAGAACCTAGTCAATACTTCTTACATTATGAAAATTTTGATCGATTACCAAACAAGATAATAAATACCTCGTTAATATTAACTTCAAGCCAGGTAATAAGTGCATTGAATTGAAACAAACGAAAAACAATGAAGTGAAATTAATTACAGCTAGAGGGCAAACCTAGACAACAACCCAACAGCATTTGGAAGACAAATAAGTATATTGAGAAAAATAAAAAATAAAAAAGGCTTCTGAACTCAAAGGACAGTTAATTATTTATAGCTAGAGAAAATTGATTCTCCCTTTCTCAACATTTGGCTGCTAGCAAGACCCAGGAAAATAAGCAACCAAATCGACTTACCACCCAACATCCCAAAATACTGAAAGACATCGAGTCATTGATTCAACTTAACAACAGTTACAAAAACCAACACGACAAAAAGATATAAGCATAAGGAAAAATCATCGTAGCCGAGCTCCACATGTTCATGGAAACCCAAACAAAACTGAAAATGAGAAAAAAAAAAAATCTCATCCAGAAGATCCTTAACCTACCTAAGAAGCCGCGAGTCCCTCACATTTTGCCATCCAGAAGAAAACTCCACTTAGCGAGACAGAGAGAGAGAGAGAGAGAAGAACGAAGTTCACTCCGAAAAGAAAAGAAAATATGATTTCTTGCATTCAAAGAAAAGCGCGTGAGGGAGTGAGTGTGAGTTTCAGTTTGAGAGACGTTTGCTGCATGTTTGACTGAGTTACGACCTTTTGTGTGCAACGAGTGGATTAGAGTGGAAAATGAAAGAGCACAGCACACGGAGCGGAACTAAGTGCTTTTATTAAATCCCATTAGGAGGCAGTTTCGACGTCCGCACTGATGTGTTGGCCACATGGGAAGAGAGAGAGGAAGAGTGAGAAAGCCACTGTTGCTTTAAAGTCTGACATAGCGTCAGGTCAGGTAAAGGGCCCTATTCTGTATTGGCTACTAGGCTTTAAGACGAATAAGACACGGTCACATATACGACAAACTCTAACACACAGAAATGTTGAATTAGAAGAGTGCGTATGCGTGATTTTTGTGTCTATTCTGTTCTCTGTTGCGGTCGCTGTTCAGCGGGCAGTGCCCAAATGCAAATCGAATACGACCGTGCTAGTCAACATTGTGATGCTTTTTTATGCTTGTGATGATGATACATAAATATCTGAGATCATGAACCATGTATTCTTAGATCTTAATTTGCTTATCTTCAAGAGGCTTGTTTTGGGATATAAAAATTTAAAACTTTTAAATAATTTTAAAATAGTTATTACAAAAATTAATAATATTAAATTATATGTAATTCTATGATAAGGTAGAAGTTAAAAAGAAATTATTATCATATATTTTAAATGAATTTTAATAACAGATTTAAACATGATAGTGCAGTGCTCAGAAAATGTAATTATTTTGTATTTTTTTTGTCTATATGATATTAATTTTTTCACCCTTTCTAATTTTCACAAGTTAAAATCAATGATATACTTTATTATATACTAACTTATTTTCTATTTTTTTTAACTTGGATTTAATGTTTTTTTTAGTGGATTTATATGTGAAAAAAAACATTTAAAGTAATTTTTATTATAGATAGATTATGGATATTTTTAGCTTTGTTCAATATGAAATCAACAGGCCAACAGAAATATAAGAAGAGAGAAAATACGTCAAAAAATTAAATTTGTAGACATTATATATATATATATATATATATATATATATATATATATATATGTGTGTGTGTGTGTGTGTGAAGGACTTCAAATTAGAAATGTCTGGTATGTAATGAAGCATAAAATATAAAACTATATCATAAAAAAAGGGAAAAATAGTGAAAAAAAAAACATTTTTCATATTTGTTATTGAAGCGTATTCTATTTCATACTCTGATCATATTTAAGATCAAATAAATGAAATATCATAAACTATTATTATAATACAATTTTATCCAAACATAATAAATTCATGACTCAACAATACTGTTAACATAGGCAACCCAATTGAAATAAATATATACAATAACATCAACTTAAAAAAAAAATTACAATCCATTAATTTATTATTCTTCCATAAAACTTTTACTGTGATTCTCTTTGATTTCTAATTAACTCATTAAACTTAGCACATTTTTTTTAAATGTCCATAATTTGTTCTTCAAACAGAAAACATTGAACACATTTCTTCTTTTCAATTCTTTTTGCATCATAAAATTTAATATTATATGTTTGATTCTTCGGTATTATTAGTATAGTTGTTTTTCTATAATAAATATTATTTTTTTCTTTTTGTATTATTTTTAGTTATGACATATTTTTTTCTTTCTATTTTACGGGGATATATATGTCTTATTTGTATTTCTTTTTAGTATGAGAACTTTTTAATATAAAAAAAATAACGGATGAATTATATGAACAATCATCTTCATAAACCTTGTGATCGGTACAACATAATGGTTATTTATTTTATCCATCGATCTATGCATGAAACCATTCTTAAATCTATTCTCTGGATTGAACATGCTTCCGACATTCGGCTGTCTCATCATAGTGGTGAAATGCAGTCACATAAATTTTCGATATTATTCATGAAGACATATGGTGATCATATTCTGGACCTTCTAATTGCGGTTACAAATATTACTCACATTTTACTTTGATTAAATTTATGAAATCGAAATCTGAAACCCACACGCATTTAATATTCTGTACCTTCTAATTGCGGTTACAAATATTACTCACATTTTACTTCGATTAAATTTATGAAATCAAAATCTGAAACCCACACGCATTTAATATATTTCATTTCATTTATTTAAACTTAATTTCATACTAAACTCAAATGTTTTTGAAATAACAATGGAGTAAAATATTCTTCATCCAAAAACTAATTTTTCTTCATTTATTAACTTTTTTTTTTCATCCAAAAATATTCATTATCAAATAACTTATGTTGAAAGACCTTAACAAAACAATATTGTTAGACGCATACATCAATATCTTTTAAATGTAACTTGAGCATTGTTTTACCAAACTCAACTGCTTCACATATTTTGGTTTTATGTTATGCAACAAGTTGTTCATATTATTAATAACCTACCTACTTCATTATTGCATTTTAAATGTCTTTACGCAGTGTTATATGATAAACCACCTAACATGATTCATT